CACGCGCACACACGGATGCGTGTGCTCTCTCACACACGAGTGTGCACTCTTTGTCACGCGTGTGCGCTCTCTCTCACACCCTCACACATACTGTTACTCTCTCGAACACACTCTCACTCACTCGCACTCTCTCGAACACACTCGCACTCTCTCGAACACACTCTCACACTCGCACTCATTCTCTCTCTGACGCGCTGTCTCTCTGACACGCTGTCTCTCACGCTCTCGCTCTCACACAGACGCTGACTTATGCACACATTCTTTCCACACAGAAACACACACTGACCCGTGGGCTGCAGTGGTTCAAGAAGACAGCTCACCACTACCTTCTGAAGGGCAGCTGGGGATGGACAATGAATTCTGGCCAAGTCAGTGACGCCTATATCCCACGACCGAAATTTTTTTGTCATACGTATACGCGCACGGCGACCCGCAAGCAGAATCTTTGCGCGCACACACACTGAATCTTGCACGTTCGGCAATGCATATGTGTGTTGACAAAGCATTTGGAACGCTAACTGTTCAGTCCGTCAGTCACTGGTCAGAGGCAACAGCTATTAGACAAATGGTGAGTGAGTATATGTGCTCTCTTCCAATTCTTTGTTGCCTGTTTGCATGAAGAGGTGGTGAAGTTGCCTCTTTAGAGTCTGGAGACTTTCTGCACCGCTCTCCCCCACCCCGCAAACTTCTTATTCACCCTCGGGCTGCACATCAGCCCCCGGCAACCAATTGGAGTTGTTTCCAAGCTGAGCACTCCTGACCCCCATGATGGGACTGAATCGAAGACCCAACCAACAGGCAGAACTGCCCTGAACTCTCACCCACATCAATGGGGCAACAGTGTAAGTACGGCACCAAATGTGTTAGAAAAACACTACATCTCCTTGTACAGCTTCCTTCATTTAAGACAATTCTCTACTCATTTTAGTCACAAAAATAAAGACCAATGAGATGTGATCTTCATGACATGTACTCGTGTGAGCGCACACTACCCTTTGTGTACACGCACTCTGGTACACGCACGCATACTCGAACGCTCTGCTGTCATATATATTTACACTGCCTTTGGTGATACACAAACACACATGCACTCTGACTCATGCACACACTCACTGAAACATGCGTGCACAATGTCTTATTAACACACTCTCTAGTACGCGCACACACACTGATTTATTAGCACATACTGTCTAGTACACACACATACTAACTCATTAGCACACTCTCTAGCAGGCATACACACTGACTCATTAGCCCACACTGCCTAGTACACACACAAACTCATTAATATACACTCTCTAATACACACAGACACTGACTCATCAGCACACACTCTCTGGTATACACACAGACTCATTAGCACACACTGTCTAGTACGCACACACTGACTCATTAGCAAACACTATCTAGTACACATGCACACTGACTCATTAGCACACGCACTCTAATATGCACATACTGACTAATTAGCACACATTCTCTGCTACACACACGCACACAGACACACTGACTCCTATACACCGTGGCACACAGACACACACGCATACACTCTGATAGACATTCACAGACTTGTGTACACACACTGACCCATGCTTTCACACACATTGACTGATTCACATAAAAACACGCAATGGATCAACCTGCACACACATACTGAAATGGACACACCAACGTGCACACTAACACACACTGATTTGGATGCACCATTTCAACTACATGTGTCTATTTGTGTAGAAGCATTTATTTGCATGCATGTTTACTTACGTGTGTGCATTCTGCAGCACACTCTCGTACTGGTGCGCACGCGCGGCACTTGTATACATTGAACTGCGCAGTTACACTTTTGTGCTCACACACTGATACACATGCACACACACTGTGCAGGTTCACAAGCACTGAGTTACATAGACAGTGATTTGCACACATATAGACTGACACACTAAGGGAGCATTGCAAGGTTGGATGGTCAGTGCTGAGGGAATGCTGCACTGTCAGATGGTCAGAACTGATGGAGTGCCGTGCTGTCCGAGGGTTTGAACTGAGGGAGCAGGCACTGTCAGAGGGTCAATGCTGAGTGAATGTCACCACTGTCAGAAGGTCAGCGCTGAGGGATCACCGCACTGTCAGAGGGTCAGTACTGAGGGAATGCTGCGCTGTTGGAGGGGCAGTGCCAAGGGAGCGAGCACTGTCGGAGCATCAGTACTGAGGGATCGCCGCACTGTCAGAGGTTCAATACTAAGAGAGCGCTGCACTGTTGGAGAGTCAGTGTTGAGGCACAGCCACACTGTTGGAAGATCAGTGCTGAATGAGTGTCGCACTGTAAGATGGTCAGCGCTGAATGAGCGTAGCACTGTCGGAGGGTCAGTGCTGAATGAGCAGGCACTGTCATATGGTCAGTTCTGAGTGTTGTTTTCCTGAGGAATTTTCATGCCTGGATGGAAATGAGTAAGAAAAGGATCTGTCCTGTCGAGAATGAAATAACACCAAGAGCTGCCTGTTTAACAAGTCCTCACACCAGTCCAACACCAATGCATTTTGAACACTATTATTGAGTCACACAGCACGGAAACAGATCATTTGTTCCAACTTGTTCATGCCAATTAAGTTTCCCAAACTAAACTCGTCCCACCTCCTTGTGTTTGGAATGTTAGGAATTCCACATTCAGGGACAGGGTAGAGGCCATTCACCCATCATTCAGTGCTAGATATCTGACCAGAACAATACAATTAATCTCATAGTCCCTTGCTCTGTTCCTCTAACTCAGCTGAACACTCCTCCCCATCTCTGAAACAGAATCCACTCTCTCCTATCCTCTCTCTCTCACTCTACCCCCTTTTCCTCTCTTCCCTTCTTCTTTTCTATGCCATCACTCTCCCTCTCCCCTCTCTTTACCTCTTTCTCTCTCACATCCGTCCCCCAACCTCCCTCTCTTTCTCTCTCACCTGTCTCCCACTCTCTCTATCCGCTGCCTCCGTCTCTCTCCTTCCTTCTCCTCCCTCTCTTCTCTTTCTCCCTCTCTATGTCGCTCTTCAACTATCTCTCTCTCTTTTTCTCCTTCTGTCTTTGAGTGTCTCCTTTTTCTGTCTCACTCTCTTTCTCGTCTCTCACTCCCTGTTTCTTTCCTATCTCTTTCTCTGTCCCTTTCTCTAACACTCTGTCTCTCTCCATCTACCTTTATCGCTCTCTCTACCTACCTTTCTCGCTGTCTCACTCTCTTTCACTCCCCCTGTCTCTCTCTCGATCCTAGGAATATAAACATCTGCCGACCGCTCGGAATCTCCCCCCGTGGCCGTGAGAGGTACCAGCGGAATGCAGTTGCCTGCCAACGGCGACTTTGGTTGTGTGAATGTGGGAGGGGAACAATGGCGACCCTTCCGTCCCGGCGGCCCCCGCGCGCTTGAAGGTGCTCTGTCTCCGGGGCTGGGGGCCGCGCTGCGCCTGCGCCGCATTCACCCCCTTGGCCGCCCCGCTGCACGCCGGGATGCTGGAGGACTGCGGGATCGCGGAGCTGGGAGGAGCAGCGGCCGAGGCTGGGCGCCCGGGCTCCGGGAGAGACGGAGGTAAAAGCAGCCCCCGGGGGGGTTCTCCCCAGGGCTTTACCCTCCTCCGCGGGGTGAAAAAAAGGCAGAATGCACCCCTTTAAAGCGGAATGCATCTCCTTAAACGGGAACGCACCTCCTTAAAGGAGAAAGCATCCTCTTAAAGGGGACTGGAGCCCCTGAAAGCGGAATGCACCTCCTTAAAGGGGAATGTAGCCCAATAAAGCGGAATGCAACTCCTTAAAGGGGAATGCAACCCAATAAAGCGGAATGCAACTCCTTAAAGGGGAATGCAGCCCAATAAAGCGGAATGCAACTCCTTAAAGGGGAATGCTACCCAATAAAGCGGAATGCAACTCCTTAAAGGGGAATGCAACCCAATAAACCGGAATGCATCCCCTTATAGGGGACTGTAGCCCCTCACAGTGGAATGCACCTCCTTTAAGGGGACTGCAGCCCCTCAAAGCGGAAGCACCCCCTTAAAAGGGACTGCACCCTCCTAAAGGGGAAGAACCCCCCCCCCACATTAAAGCAGAATGCATCCCCTCAAAAGGGCAGTGCACTCCCTTTTGGAGGAACACAGCCCATATAGGGCTCTGCATACCATTAAAAATCAATACACCTCCTCTTCACCCATACACAGGGTGGCGATTGAGGAGGGGGGCATAGAGAGGGTGGAGATTGAGGAGGAGGGGGGGGGCGTCAGAGTGCTGCTGGGGTATGTTATTTGACCATGTTCTGACATCACTCTCTCTCTTCCTCACCACGCCCTCCCCTCCCCCAGTGCCCTCAGCTTCTCAATGTCGGAATTTGAGCCGCTTGACCTTCGACCCGGGATACCGATCCTTCAAGAGGGCTTCTGGGCCGAGCGGACGCTAATGGACCACGGCAAGGGATGGGAGGAGGCCCCGGAGAACGGAGCAGAAGATGAGGGTCCGAGACCACCCGAGGTGGATGGAGGACACAGGACGGAGGAGGGGGAAGGGGAGGATGTGTTGGTCGGGAGGCAAACACCGGAGGTTGAGGAGGTGGCATTGACCATGATAGGTATTGACGAGGACCAAGGGGGCAAAGAGAAGGTGGGGATTGGGGAAGGGGTCAGAGAGAGGGTGGTTATGGGGGACAGATTCAGAGCGAGGGTGGGGACTGAGGAGGGGGTCAGAGTGCAGCTGGGGTTGAGGGAGCGGGACATGGAGAGGTTAGGGATAGGGGAGGGGGTGATTGAGAGGGTGGGTATGGGGGAGAGATTAAGAGAGTGTGTGAGGACTGAAGAGGGGATCGGAGAGAGGTTAGGGATCGAGGAGGGGGACATAGATAGGGTGGGGATTGAGGAGGGGTTCAGAGTGCGGCTGAGGTTGGGGGAGCGGGGCATGGAGAGGTTAGAGATAGGGGAGGGGGACATTGAGAGGGCGGCGGTTGAGGAGGGGGTCAGAGTGCGGCTGGGATTGGGGGGGGGGGACATGGAGAGGTTAGGGATAGGGGAGGGGAACATCGAGAGGTTGGGCATCGCGGACCGAGTTGTGTCCGGCCATTCATCACCCTTGGGGGTTACGGCAGAGCTGGTGGGGGAAGGGGGAGGCGGTGGGGACGATGACAAGCCCCTGAAGTGCTCGGTCTGTGCCAAAGGCTTCCGTTACCGCTACGGGCTGGAGCGGCACGAGTCCACCCACCGCACAGAGAGACCCCACAAGTGCCCGCTCTGCGGCAAGGCCTTCAAGCATGCCTCGGGCCTGGTCAACCACCAGCGCATCCACGCCCAGGAGCGCCCGCACGCCTGCCCGACCTGCGGCAAGGCCTTCAAGTACCGGTACTGCTTGGCGCGCCACGAGTGTGTGCACAGCCAGGAGCGCCCGCACACTTGCCCAACCTGCGGCAAGGCCTTCAAGCACCCATCGGGCTTGCTCAAGCACCAGCGGGTGCACACCCGCGGGCGGCCCTTCGTGTGCCCGGTCTGTGGTGCTGCCTTCACCCACCCCTCCATTCTCCAGCGGCACCAGGCGGTGCACGCCGAGGACCGGCCCATCCGCTGCGAGGAGTGCGGGCGTGGCTTCTACTACCCATCGGCGCTGAGGAAGCACCAGCAGAGCCACGGCAAGGCTGGCGTCGGCGGGGCCCCACCGTACCTGCGGACGTACCGGGCGCCGGGGGCTGGCGCGGTGCCGCCGGACCTGAAGCCGTGCAAGTGCGCCGAGTGCGGCAAGGCGTTCAAAAAGTCCTCCGATCTGGTGATGCACCAGCGGGTGCACACGGGCGAGCGGCCCTACGTCTGCGCCCTGTGCAGCAAGGGCTTCAAGCAGCCGTCGGGCCTCATCCGGCACCGGATTGTGCACACAGGTGAGCGTCCCTTCAAGTGCCCGGTGTGCGAGAAGAGCTTCACCATCCTGTGCACGCTCAGGAAGCATCAGAGGCTTCACACCGGTGAGAAGCCCTTCCAGTGCCCAGACTGCGGCCAGCGCTTCACCCAGTCTCACCACTTGGTCTCACACCGGCGCATCCACACCGGTGAGAAGCCCTTCGCCTGCCCGGTCTGCGGCAAAGCCTTCAAGCAGCCATACCAACTGGTGGAGCACCGGCGCGTCCACACGGGGGAGAGGCCTTTCGTCTGTCCTGTGTGCGGCCGCGGCTTCATCCAATCGTCCCACCTCAAGACTCACCAGCACCTCCACACCGGGGAGCGGCCCTTCAAGTGCGGTGACTGTGGCAAGGGCTTCATCCTGTCCTCGCACCTCATCAAGCACCAGCGCATTCACGCCAAAGAGTCCTACTGACTGGGGAAGGAGGGGGTGGGGGGAGTGCTGTTGGTGGACGAAAGTGTTATGGACCTTCACCGGGAACAGCACGTGCCACAACAACACCGCACCACGGGGGCCGACGCTGAGACAACCGGCAACAAGCGGGAAAAGAACAGACATCACAGACAGGATAGAGATTGTTGACACCGACCAGGGTTGGGAATCGCTGTCACTGACTGGTATCGGGAATCACCGACACTGACCGGGATCGGAGATCATTGCCGACACCGATCACCGACCGGGATCGGAGATCGATGACACTGACCGGGAATCGCCGACCGGGATCGGAGACGCCGACCAGGATCGGGAATCGCCGACACTGATCACCGACACTGACTGGGATCGGGATCGGGAATCGCCGACACCGACCGGGATTGGAGATCACGACACCAACCAGGATCGGGAATCGCCGACGCCGACCAGGCTCGGAGATCACCGACCGGGATTGTGAATCGCTGACACCAACACCGACTGGGATTGGAGATCACCAACTGGGATCAGAGATCATCAACCGGGATCGGAGATCGATGACACCGACCTGTATTGGGAATCGCCAACACTGACCGGGATCGGAGATCGTCAACACCAACTGGGATCAGAGATAGCTGACACCGACTGGGATCGGGAATCGCCGACATCGAATGGGATTGGAGATCATTGCTGACACTGAACGGGATTGGAGATCACTGACACCGACCGGGATTCGGAATCGCCGACATCGCCCGGAATCGGAGATCAATGACACTGACTGGGATCGGAGATCATCAGCTGTTCCTCAAGATCACTGCAGTCACTGCCCCCCCCCACCCCCAACCCTCTGACCCTGTGGACCGTCCGCTACTGAGCTGTTGCCCCTGGATGCCTGTACTTTTTTGAATACTCTCCCTTTGGAAAGGGGAATGTTGAACTGAGAGTGTTGCCTGCATTGCCAATGTGGAAGCCATGTGTCTGTGATCGACTGAAAACTGGACCTGAGATGATAAGTAGCGAACCCCAGCCTGACCCTGGGACTCTGTCACTTGCCCTCAGTATCATCCCTTCCCAAAGAGTGTCCCAACGCCAACAAGGCACAAGCCAGGAGGGTGAGGGAATACTCCCCACTTGCCCTGGATGGGTGCGTCTCCAACAACACTTGAGAAGCTCAACACCATGCAGGGACAAAGCAGCCCCCGCTTGATTGGCACCACTCCCACTCATAAGGAGAAAGATTCTTGTCCTGGAGGTGGTTCAGAGGAGATTTATTGCTGGTATGAGGGCTGGGGGAGGGGGTGGGGTCTGTTTTATGGGAAATGTCGGAATGTCTGGGCCTGTATCCTTCGCGAGTTTTGAAAAGGTAGAGGTCATTCCTATTGAGACATGGAAGAAGGAGAGAGATTCACAGGGTGGAAGCTGAAAGGGTGTTCCCCCACCTTGGGGAATTTAGAATGAGGAAGGGGAGGGGGGACACAGTTTCTGAACGAGGGGTCTCCTGTTTCGGAGGGAGATGAGGGAGGAATCTCCTCTCTCTCAGAGGTGTGAGTCTGTGGGATCCTCCCACACTCTGCCCCAGAGAGCGATGGTGTGGGGGCTGGGTCATTGAATGTACCCGAGGCTGAGTGAGGGAGAGTTATGTCGGACCAGGGAGTCGAGGGGTACAGGGGCAATGGTGGTGGAGGGAACGGAGAGGAGGGGGTAGGTGAGGTCATTGGATCATCCACCGCCTCTATTGAATGGGAGAGCAGGAACAAGAGGCCAAAGGGTCTCCTCCTGACCCCATTTCTGATGATCTGACCCTCCCCCCCCACCCACCCTCAGTCCCTCTATCATTAACGCACAGCAGCAGCAGTGTGTACCATCTACAAGATGCACTGCAGCCATTTGGTGCGGTTCCTCCCACTGGCAGCACCTTCCGAAACCTGCCACCACTTATTCCCCCCCTCCCCCTTCCCCCCCAGGAAGGTCCATCAGACATGGGAGTAGGCCATTCAGCCCGTCGAATTTGCCCTGCTATTCAATGAGATTGTGGCTGATCTGATCGTCCTCAGCTCCACTTTCCTGCCTTTTTCACACCATAACCCTTGCTTCCTCTTCCTGATTTGAAAATCTTTATCTGAGCCTTGAACACCCTCAACGAGCCAGCCTTGACAACAGCCCTCTGTGGTGAAGAAGTCCACAGATTCACGCCCCTCGGGGAGAATAAATTCCCCCTCATCTCTATCTCAGACTTTCAGATCCTCACCATTCTCTGAGTCAGAATGCTTTCCCTCACATCCGGTATAAACCTCCTGCCCCTTCCCTTCAACCTCTGCCCTCCCACCCTGGTCATTGAACCCCTTCCCCCTCATCAAGGGGAAAAGTTTCTTCCTGTCTCCCTTGTCCATGCCCCGCCCCCTCATCGTTTTATACATCTCAATCATGTCTCTCTGTCTCAATCTCCCCTGCCCTAAGGGGAACAACCCCCATCATTCCAATCTTTCTCCATGGTGGGTTTTCCAGAACCAGGGGACAGGGTTTGAGGATTCAGGGTAGACCATCTAGGATGGAGATGAGGAGACATTTCTTCACCCAAAGAGTGGTGACCCTGTGGAATTCATTACCACGGGGTGTAGTTGATGCCAAAACATTGAATGTATTCAAGAGGTGGCTAGATATAGCACTTGGGGCGAATGGGATCAAAGGTTATGGGGAGAAAGCAGGACTAGGCTGTTGAGTTGGACGATCAGCCATGATCGTGATGAATGGTGGAGCAGGCTGGAAGGGCCGAATGGCCTCCTGCTCCTATCTTCTGTTTCTATCATTGAAACGCTCCAATCCCTAAGGCAACATCCTGGTAAATTTCCGTCTGCATCTTCCGCCAGTGCTGTCGCCTCCCTCCTAGAATGTGGATTCCAGAACTGCACGCAACACTCTCGCTGTGTGGCCTCACCAACGTGTTCATACAGTTCCAGCATCGACTCCCCCCCACCACCTTAAACTCTCGCCTAATAGAAGCAAGTGTCCCCCACTCACCTTCCTAACCATTTTATCCACTTGTCCCGTTACCTCCAGTGACTGGTGTATACACACACCAAGGTCCTACCTTTCCTCGCTTCTTCCCAGGGCCCTAGTGTCCATAATGTATTCCCTTGCCTTGCTTGGCCCGCCCAAGTACATCACTCCACACTTATCTGCATTGAATTCCATTTACCACCGATCAGTCCATATGTACCCCGCTCTGTAATCTGAGCACCTCGCCAGTTTTTGGATCATCCATTGACTTATTGATCGACCCTGCTGTGTGTGAGTGTAAGTCATTTGCATAAACAGCAAGGGCCCCTGTGGGACTCTACTGGACACACTTCCAGTCGGACAAAACATCCTTCAGCCATCACCCCCTACTTCTGCCACTCAGCCAAATTTCTTAGGACCCCATGGGCTTTTTTTTCAATCATTCACAAGATGAGGGCGTCGCTGGCTAGGCCAGCATTTACTACCCACCCCTAGTTGCCCAGAGGGCAGTTAAGAATCAACCACATTGCCGTGGTACTGGAGTCACATGCAGTCCAGACCAGGTAAGGATGGCAATTTTCTTCCCTGAAGGACATTCGTGAACCAGATGGGTTTTTCCAACAACTGACAACGGCTTCATTGTTTATCATTAGACTCTTAATTCCAAGTTTTAAAAAATTGAACTTAAATTCCGCCATCTGCCATGGTGGGATTCAAACCCAGAACATTACCTAGGTCTCTGGATTGACAGTCCAGTGATATTACCATCCCCTCCCCTTGCCTTTGCTATCCATTTCTTTGTACCGCAAGCCTTGCTGAGTTCCTTACCATCAAAAGCATTGCCCCCATCTACACACCTAGTTGCCTCTTTAAAAAGTTCAATTGAGTTGGTCAGACACGAGACCCGCTTGAAGCGAAACCGTGCCAGCTGATTGCGATAACTATTACCATTCTCTCTGTGCCTCCAATCTCCCTCACTCTCGGACATTTTCCTGGCTGTTCCCTATTCTGCCCTCCACCTCTCCCACAGGATCATTTTTCCAAACTCTCCGTCCCCCTTTCCAGTTCTGAAGAAGGATCCAGCCAGACCCTTTTCTTTCCCCATGGACGCTGCTGGACCTGCAGAGTTTCACCAGCAGTCACTGTTCTTTCTAATCACACTGAAAGTGGGCGCCTGATTCTCAATCCTCCTTCGCCCATGACCAAGATTCTCACACCGAGTAGTTCACAGCCGTCATGTCTGCCAAACTCTTGTGTCCCTATCCCACAGACTTTGTGTATTCATCCAACGTGTACCTACCTACCCACCATCAATCTTGCTTCCTCCCTTTTCTGTTTCTCCTTAAACTGAGGTTCCAGTGAGGGAAACGATGGTGGGATTTGCCAAGGATTTTGCCTTTGTAGTGCCCAAGTGTACTTAGAATCCCTTCACTGTGGAATCAGTCAACACTGACGTTCCAAAGAACATCCCACTCAGTCTTCCCACCCACCCACCCCTCCCCCCTCAACCCGTAACCCTGCATTTCCCATGGCTGACCCATCTAGACTGTACATCCCTGGACATTATGGGGCAATTTAGCGTGGCCAATCCACCTCAACCTGCACATCTTTGGAGTGGGCGGAGGGGGTAGGGGCGTGGAGAGTGTGTGGGGGGAACCCGGAGGGAACTCATGCAGACACAGGAGAACGTGCAAACTGTACACAGACAGTTGTCCGAGGCTGGAATCAAACCCGGTCCCTGGGTGTTGTGAGACAGCAATGCTGACCACTGAGCCATCCTAACAGTCTAAAGAAGACACTACTTAGAGACGAGCTGTGACCTTTACAATGACAACTTCTGTCTGTCTGTCTCTCTCTTTCCCAAGATCTTTGCCCTGAAAACCTTTAACAAAAAACAAAAGAACAGATTAATTGTGTTTTTAGCTTTGAGTATAGTCTAGGAGTGCACATCAAAACCATGGAGAGATGTGCTGTCTGCATGCTGTGTAGATTTACAATCATTGTTCTGAGAGTGGCAGTTCTTTAATAAACTTACACTGACCACATCATCTGAGAGTGCAGTGTGTGAATATCACTTACATTGGAGACAGTCTGATTATGAAGGATTGGGGCTGTGGAATTAATTTAGTGTAGGATAGCGGGATTTGTTTGAGGATTGATTCAGGGCTATGGGCAAAGAGAGCGGTGCAGTGGAATTACTTTGGGTTTGATACAGGGTTATGGGGACAGCGGGGCAGTGGGATTAGTTTGGGGTTCGATACAGGGCTATGGGGAGAGAGCGAGGTAAGGGGATTAATTTGGGAATTGAAAATCCCTGTGTGGGTGTGTGGAATTAGTTTGGGAATTTGTAAGTCCTTGTGTGGGCGTGGGATAACTTTAGGAATTGATAAATCCTTTTGTCAGAAAGGATTAGTTTGGGAATTGGCGAATCACTGTGTTGTGTGGGTGGGGGATTTGTTTGGGAATTGATAACTCAATGTCTGACAATAGGATTAGTTTGGGAATTGGCAAAACCCTGTCTCTCTGTGTGTGTGTGTGTATGTGTGTGTGTATGTGTCTAGTTTGGGAATTAGCAATTCCCTTGTGTACACGTGAGATAGTTTGGATAGTTTGGGAATTGGAAAATCCCTGTGTGGGAATGTAGGATTAGTTTGGGAATTGACAAATCCCTGTTTCGGGTTATAGGACTAGTTTGGTAATTGGTAAATCCCTGTGAGGATTTAATTTGGGAATTGGTAAATCCCTATGTGTGGGAGTATATAATTAATTTTGGAATTGGTAAATATCTGTGTATGGGTGGATGGGAATTTTTGGTAATTGGTAAATCCTGTGTGGGAGCTAGTTTGGGAATTAGTAAATCTCTGTAACACAATGGAATTAGTTTGGGAATTGGTAAATCCTGCTGTGGATGTGGGATGAGTTTGAGAATTGGTAACCCCTGTGCGTGGGAATTGGTAAATGCATGTCTGATAATGGGATTAGTTTAGGAACTGGTAAATCCCTGTGTGTGGTTGGGGGATTTGTTTGGGAATTGATAAATCTATGTCTGGCAATGGGATTAGTTTGGGAATTGATAAATCTCCGTGTTTGCATTTGGGATTGTTTTGGGAATCAGAAATCCCTGTTTTGATGTATGGGATTACTTCGGGAATTGGCAAGTCCTTGGGTGAGATTAATCTGGGAGTTCAAAAATCCCTGTGTTGGCGGGCTGGAGGGGCCAGGGGTCTGTTAAAGTCCCTATCTGCTTTGGGCTGAAGCGGGCGGCTCAGGTGCAGAGCCCCCGCCGGCTGCGGCGCATGCGTATTGCTTAGAAGGGGGGGTGAGGCGGGCCGGACGGCACGCAGGCGCAGTAGGAGAAGGTTAAGAGAGCGGAAGGGGCGGCGCATGCGTACTGGAAAAGACCGCAGCTAGGGTGAAAATCAACAGAAAGGGGGAAAAAAAGAACAGGTAACGGCTGGGACTATACATGGGTCTGACTGTACCAGGATTATACAATGTCTAGGTCTGTTTGCTGCAGAGTCCGACTGTACCTGGGTCTGTATGCAATGGGCTCTGACTGTACCAGGATTACACTGTGCCTGGGTCTGTCTGCAGCAGGGTGTGATTGTACCCGCGCCTGACTGTACCTGGTTCTGTCTGCAATAGGTTCTGACTGTACC